GTTTAAGATTTGCAAAGTACCGTCCCCTATGATCTTTAGTTGGTTTTACATGTTGTTAACTGATAAATCTGAATACAGTTTATTTTATTGAAGTCTAAAGTTCCAGGAGCCAAATACACCTTAACCAAGTGCAAATTAACTGACCACCTAGTAACTATGGAATAACTATGAAGTAACCACCACGAACATGCTTAACACTTTGTATGTTGTCAAAAAATTAATGCCAGAAAAAGCAAAGATGGCTTTCAGATACAAAAACCAGAAAGACAGGGCAGGTGGTACTCGTAAACAAAAATAAAGGCTACAGAAAGATCCTCTTTGACAGGGAGGGGGCAAGAATGATGTGTTTGATTTTACACGTGGCAAGTTTAATGACCACAGACAAATCAAAGTCACCTGGGGATTTCTTAGACGCACCTGAAGATTGTCCATCTAAAAGATTATACTATAAGCCTTGTGTTTTTTGAAAATTATCATTTGTAAATGAGAATACGTTCAAAACAAGAACCCAGAAGATTGTCGTAAAGAAATTTTAACAGAGCACCATTTGAGAGGTCTGGGTCTGAGGGGTAGGCTTGATCTTAAGAGTGGGTAAGAAGAGGGATCATAGACTGAGATGTGAAGAAGACAGAGGCTAGACCTGGGAGGAACACACCAGTGTTTGTGTGACGGGCGAAGGAGAGGCGTTAGTAAAAAGAAGTAGAAGAACAGGAGATGCTGTATCACAAAGTCAAAGGAGCAGAGTTTTAGAGCCTAAGAGTAGCCAATAGGATCCAATGCCTCTATGGGACAAAGAGAAGGGCCAAGAATTGTCCGTCGAATTTAGCAATAAGGAAATCTTCAATGGCGCAAAATAGTCAAAAGGCAGACTGCAACAAGTTGAGTATAACCATACAATAAAGTAAGACATTTGCTACAGACAGCAAAAATTTGGTTAACGAGGGCATTAACAAGAAAAGGAAATCAAGAAATTAGGTATGTTCTTTAAATATAAAGGACATTTGAGCATGTTGACAGGCTGATGAGAAGGAATTGATCAAAATGAAGAAATTATAAGGAAATAAGAGAGAGAACAACTAATGTAAGTGAACCCTGGGAAATCCAGGTCTAAGCATACAATACGACATCTTCCTGAGGAACAGCGGGCCTGCCCTTCCTCTGAGAGCTTGCTGAGATGCGGGGACCCTCAAGGAGCCCACAGGAAACCCAGGTGTTTCTGAGTTCCTTGGTGGCGTAAGAGGCGAAAGAGCCGCCAGGAGAAATGAGGAAAGAATGCAACCAAAGGTCAATGAAAAGACAGCTAATCTCCACTGTGCGGCTTTAGGAGTGTCACTTCCCCTTGTTGGACATCATTTTCCACATCTGTACACATTTATTCATTGATTAGCGCATGGAACTCACAATACCTTTGAAGCTTAATAGGTTCTGGGCACAGTCCTAGGTGTTAGAGATATGGTAGTGTGACAGGGTGCAGCCAAGAGGGGAGCCCCAAATAGGGATTTGTAACAGGGTCCAGAAGAGCTTGGAGATAATCGGCCCCACACCACAAGGCCACACCTGCCCAGAACCTGGCAGCTGCAGCCAATTGTGAGAGGAGCCAGAAATGGGGCTGCAGAGGAAGATTGGTGCTGGGATTTAAACAGAGGCACAGTAGCCATTGGGTGTCTCTCTTTTTGGGACCATGCGTCTGTTTAGGACCACGTGGCTTTGGTGTCTTGGTGGGACCATGAGGCTTGTGTGAGAGTCAGGACCACGAGGCTTTGGAAGTGCTCCCTTTTGCCACGTGGAGGGTGCTGGGAGGACTGTGTGCATTTGTGGGGAACTTTAGTTTGTGTTAGTTCAAATGAATAATAAATTCCTTTTCTTTTCATGAATCTCTGGTATTGAGAGATGTCTTTCCTCTGGTGGTAGACATAACGAACCTGGGGGGTCCATTTCAGGTAATAGTATATTGCCTCGGCTGCCCTTGGCTCCCCCTTTTGTACTATAACAGTAGTAAGTGGGACACACCTAAAACCAAGGGGCCTGCCATGGACAGTCATCTCCAAGTTCTCCCTGCGATTCTAACTGTCTCCAGCAAGCGCACGGAAAAGCACTACAATTAATTCATTGTCATGTTGTGAGACCCACGGATCTTCAAGGGTTCAGTTATAATCAGATATGGAATGAGCCAGTGGTCCCCCGTTGAAGTCCCTGGACACTAAGTTCACAAAATTATCTATAGTGAATTTTCAGAAAGACCTGTTTCTATCACTTTAAAAGAGTTAAATGGGAATTATACTCAAAACATTAGCGTCACCCCAGTAAGAACTGAGTGTTCCTGCCCGGCAGCCACCCATTCTCATGGACACATGTGCATGGTTCTACCTTAAAACATGGGGGTGCTGTATTATTATTATGCAATAAATAGAATTTAGCCCACAAAGTTCCCAAGCACATTAAAACCAAGGGGAACTTCAAAAAATCTTTCTGAAAGGCTCCCGAGTGGTGAAAACTTGGAGAAGCCTCAGCGGCGAGGAAGACCCTGGAAGCAGCGTTGGAGACGTGGCTTGTTCAGATCCCGCCTCGCCGCCTCTTTGTGCGGAGCCTTGGCTGGGTCTCTCTGAGCCTCATCTGTAAGGCCCCACCGAGGGCGAACCTTTATGGAGTCGAGAGGACTTAACGAGGCATTTTATGGTTTCATGCTGTTCACGTGACATAGGTACAACAACAACAGAGTTCACGGTGCAGCGAGTGGGAAGAGCCTGAGATGCAGAGTCAGACACCCCAAGTTCAAATTCTAGTTACAGCTGGGAGTGGGCGATGCTGGGCAAAAGTGTTTACCTAGTCTATTCTTTGGAAGCCCGTAAGTGTTTTTCTCTTTCTCTCTTTTTTATTGTTGTTCAAGTACAGTTGTCTCCATTTCCCCCCATCACTCCCCGTCACCCCAGCCATCCGCACTCCCCACCTTCGATCCCACCCGCCTTTGGCTTTGTCCGTGTGTCCTTTACACATGTTCCTGAAATCCCTTCCGCCTTCCCCCTCATTATCTCCTCCCACCTCCCCTCTGGTTACTGTTTTAAAAGGAAAGATGTTATGATTTTCACTTTTCTAATAGATTAGAAAGCACATCACAATGCTTTATTTCCCCTAGATATACACCAAAACATAAACCTCAATTCAAAACCTCATGTCAGATACGTGATAGATGTCAAGGGCAAAGAAGAATACGGCCTACTATACTATTTATAATCATTACATGGTAATTATAATAGTATGCTATTATTATACTTTATTGATCCCACTACTTTGCTACATTACACTCATCCTGAACCAGGGAGATAAAAGAAATACTATTTCAACAGAGCAACTCAGCATTCAAGTCAGTTAGCTAGGAAATTCCCCTCTTACCTCCATCTCCCCCTCACCCCTCCAGTGAGTCTCCAACAGAGGTAATTTTTCAGTTTCCAGTTATGCCTATTTATCAAGTCAATTATCACAAAATCTAAGCAATTCGCATTAAGTCTAATTAGCAGAAAACATTGTCCTGCTCTTACTGCTTCCCTGTCCTTTCCTTAGGTGTCCTGGCTGTGTCCGGAGAGGCCATGTAAGAGTCTTCCCCATTGCTCCATTGTATCTGATAGACGCCTATGGTATCCGGATACAGCCCACTTGTCTTTAGCTTGGACTCCCAAGAAGTGTCCTTCCGGCATAAATTTATTCACTGATGTAGTTACTGCACCCATTTGAATCACCTTTTACTTGGCAATTCAGCATGGCCTACGTGTAGACCATACAAATTATCCATAAAACAGCAAGCTCGAGAACCCATGATATTAATCCCATTAGGCACTGCAAGCTCTCGGCACAAAAAGGAGAAGAAAGGGCAAGAAAGGATGATGAGAGGAGATAACTTTTACTGTGGGTAGGACCCTTTCTGGAGCAGGTGAGGCAGTACTGAACAAACGAGCTCTAAGTCTGTTCCCTCCCCGACCTCCTCCTGCTTTATTGGCCTTCGTGTGTTAATGCTTGAAAACTGCCTGCTGAAGGCCCTCCAGGGCCTACGACAGCACCGGGAAAACGCATTCGATGATACATCACGTCTCCTGTCCTTCTCCTCAAAGTGGCCATTCTAAATCTCAGCCCCGGCCACACATCCACATGACTCAGCGAGCTTCACAAAGCACTGACGTAATCAGGTCTCGCCCCAGATTAATTATTAGAGTCAGGAGGGTTGGGCAGGCACTGATGGCTTTTCTCAGGTCCCCAGGCCATTCTCTTGTGCAACCAGTGTTGTACAAGCAGCTGGCGTGTCCACACTTTCACTTACCATACTTTCCAAAGCACCTTCCCCTTCCTCCCCACCTGCCCCCCCGAGTACTGGAGAACACGTGGAAGTCAGGAAGTCGGGTCTGGGGGCGTCCTTGCTGAGGAGTTGCTTGGAGCAACTTGTTCCGTCTTGGAATCGATCGTGCTGACAGAGTCAATCATGTGTTTCTGGACCAGACCCTCCTAGAGGATAATGTCGATGCCTTGGGGGTGGGGGGTCGCCTGAATTCTTCACAAGGACCGCTCTGCCCATAAAGAAAGGCAGGTTGTAAGGGCCTTTGACACTTTGCCTTTCCCGTGGGTGCACATAAGCCACACAGCTGGCTTTCCCGTTGGAGCATGTGTCTGATGCCCTTCGCAGGAGTGCCGTTGTCTGGTTAATCTGAGTCCAGGCCTCCATGGGGATCACCCACTGACCTCTTAATGCCAAGTTACACGCTCCCTTTCCACCCTCTCAGAATCTCCAAGGATGAGCAACCCTGGGGTTGGTTGGTTTTGCTGTTGTTTTGAATACCACATCGCCGCTCATCTTAGCCAGTTTATCGTCCGCAGGCTGGTGGCCCGACGATACTTGCCAACACAAGAAAAGAGTAGGCCAGGAATTATGAAATGTCTCTCCTTTGATGGGACTTTGCACCCAGGAAAGCAGTTCAACAAAAAAACCTGAGCAAAAACAAACAGTCGCTCTGGCACTCTCACCCTGTGCTGATAAATACCTCCGCAGACGGGTTTGGCCATCCCACTCGGAGCTGCCTAACGAGAACAGATGCCGGCCGGCCGGGGGCTCGCCTTGGCCGTGTTAACATGCTCCTTACAAATCAGCATCCTGTCGGCGGGGCCGACCCCCAGGTGAGCCACCCTTCTCTTTGTCTCTGCGATGCCACTGTGGGCTTCGATACTTCCAGGTGTACCTCTTACCAGAAAGCAGGTAAACAAAAAAAATTAACCTGCACTGAGATAGGTAGCCCCAGAATTTAAACTTTGAAAAAGGGTAAGACCAGGCAAGGGGCGTGTGTGTGTCTTTGAGAGTTTTCTGAGGCAACCCGCTGCTCTTTCCAGGGGTTTCTTTGAAACAAGAAATCCCAGTGTGAAGGCTGGCATCATCTTGTGGTACCTGGAATTCTGGAGCAAAGCTGACTTTTACTAGAGTGTGGTAAACCTGGGTTTATCGGCGTCACAGGTCCGAGAAGGTCAAAAGCAAAGGAAATGAATCTTTCCCACATTCTGCCTCAATGTCTAACACGGGGCCACTGAATCCACTGCCCATTTGTCCCGCATGAGGCAAAGGTTCACCATCTTCGCTTCTCTTCCTTGACACCCCACACGGTGCCCCAAGGCACACACTTGCATCCTTCGGATTAGGGTGCCATTTCTTCTAGTCAAGAAGAATCACCGTAGCACAGACCGGGTGCTCAGGCATCCAGCAGAGCAACTGACTTTCTCTCCTTTTGCTCTGATCCTAACTGCAACCACAAAGCCCAAGACAAGCTGATCCAGAAAATAAATCGACCAGACAGTGCTGAACATCTACACTGTACCCAGAACTGCCGGAGAGCAGAGCTGCGTGACCCGACACAGCACGACCCGCTCTGACGATGGGACCAAAATGTTCTGGGAGAGCTGGGCAGGGGGGGCGGAAATATCCTCCCAGACACTGTCTTTCTGCCTGGATGTAACTGTGCCCCACATTCCATTCTTCTTCGGTCATCGGACCCTTGGTTTAACCAAGTTCTGTTTTGGACTCTGGGGTGCATCCCAGGCGTGTCTGTGCCTGCCTCTCGGCTGCATTAGGGGCCACTGCTTTGCCTGGAACCCCTGGGCACGCGGTTTGCCCACAGGGTCCCAGCTCCAGGAGCAGGCACTGAGAGGTGCCACACAGACCAGCAAGGGCTTGGGACGAGCGCTCCCCCAGGCCTTCTTGCATCCCACCTCTCTCCTTCTCCCCGTGTCCCCCAAGAAACACTGTTCCTCTTAGTCAGCATGTTCCTCTACTGGGCATCGAGGACAAAGTGGAATGAGGCAGCCAGTTCCCTGAAAGTCGCGTTAGCCCTTGTACTTACCCTAACCTTTTCTTAAGTTAAAAAAATAATTTAAACAACCCACATTCCTGGACTGTGACTCCCGCTGATTGAAAATGAGAGGCTGTGGGGGAAGGCTTCAGCTGCTTTGAAGTGTGGACCCCCTGGGTCCCGGCCACGTTCAGCTGTTCCAGGGAGGACCAGGGAGCCCCCCTCGCGGGCCTCCAGCTCTGAGCAGCTGCACGGCACGGTGGGACTTGGCTTTGTGCACCGCTCTGCCGTGCCCTCGCGAGTTCGCTAGGGTGACCCTGGCTGAGCACGCCCTGCTCCGCCCTTCGGCACAGGCTTGGGGTCGAAACGGAGTGTTCAGATCAACCCTCAAGTTGGAGGACACATAGTTCGAACAAAGAACTGAAGTAACAAAAAGTTATTTAACATGCAAATTTGATTAGCATGAAGCACTAGGCTTCCCAAGCTCAGTTCAAGGTCGTGACTTACAAACTGACTCTGCAGGTGCAGGCAAGCTATTCAAAGTCTCCACACCTTTCTTCCCTTGTCTGTAAGATGGTGACAGTGTTCATTTCCCAGTATCACAACGTGGGTGGCTTCAAACAATGGCAATGTATCGCCCCACCTTTCTGGAGGCTAGAAGCCCGGAATCAAGGTGGGGACAGAGCCATGCTCCCTCCAAGACTCCGGGAAGGAGCCGTCTTCGTTTCCGACGGCAGCCAGCACTCCGTGGCATTTCTTGGCTGGCAGCTAACGTTCCAATCTCTGCCTCTGTCCTCGCGTGGCCGTCCTCACACCCCCTTCCCTCCGTGCGTGTCTGCCTGATGCTCAATTCCCTCTTTTTAAGGACAGCAGTCATATCAGATTAGGGCCCACCCTGATGACTTTGCTTTAACTTGATTTTTCTCTGGACAGACCCTCTGTCCCAATAAGGTCACATTCTTTTTTTTCTTACTTTTTTTATTAAATATATTTGATTGATTATGCTGTTACAGTTGTCCCATCTTCCCCCTTTTATTCCCCTCCACCCTGCACACCCTCTCCCACCCGCATTCCCCCGCTTTAGTTCATGTCCATCGGTCATACATATGCGTTCTTTGGCTTCTACAGTTCCTAGACTATTCTTAACCATGCCCCCCCATCTATTTTCTACCTGCCATTTATGCTGTTTATTCCCTGTACCTTTGCCCCAGTCTCCCTGCCTCCCACTCCCCCACTGATAACCCTCCATGTGATCTCTATTTCTGCGATTCTGTTCCTGTTCTAGGTGTTTGCTTAGTTTATTGTTGGTTTTGTTTTAGGTTCTGTTGTTAATAATTGTGAGTTTGCTGTCATTTTACTGTTCATATTTTTATCTTCTTCTTAGATAAGTCCCTTTAACATTTCATGTAATAAGGGCTTGGTGATGATGAACTCCTTTAACTTGACCTTATCTGGGAAGCACTTTATCTGCCCTCCCATTCTAAATGATAGCTTTGTTGGATGGAGTCATCTTGGATGTAGGTCCTTGCCTTTCATGACTTGGAATTCTTCCCAGCCCCTTCTTGCCTGCAACATTTCTTTTGAGAAATCAGCTGACAGTCTTATGGGAACTCCTTTATAGGTAACTGTCTCCTTTTCTCTTGCTGCTTTTAGGATTTTCTTTGTCTTTCATCTTGGGTAATGTAATTATGATGTGCCTTGCTATGTGCTTCCTTGGTTCCAACTTCTTTGGGACTCTCTGAGCTTCCTGGACTTCCTGGAAGTCTATTTCCTTTGCCAGATTGGGGAAGTTCTCCTTTATTATTTGTTCAAATAAGTTTTCCATTTCTTGCTCTTCCTTTTCTGAGGTCAAGGGGTTAACATTTCAACAAGTCAGCTCTGAACAGTGACCGTGACAGCATCTACCTGATGAAGTTTTCTGTGAAGGTTCAATATCATATCTGCATGTAATGTACTTACAATATCTGTGCCTGCCACGTGGTAAGAACTTTGTAAATGTGAAATATTCTTCAAAATAATAGCATTGCTATTCCTCTCACTGTGATATGCTCTCTGCTTCAGGAGAGGAAGGGATGGAGTTATAGCTAGCAGCCACCTGGCTACAGACATTTCATCTTAAAGCCACAGCAGCTGAGAGCTATTGCTGTTGGTGTACTGTGGGAAATTCTCAATGACAATTTGTTTGCAAACTTGAGTGTGCCTTTGAGAAGAGGTCCTGAAGGTGTCATCGCCTCCTATGTCACTCAAGGTAGCATAGAAATGTCAGAAACCACTGTGCTGATAGAGCAACAATAGCTCATGACACAGATCCCGGGGCCAGGGGCCTGCGTGTGATTCCAGGTCCATAGTTCACCAGTTATGTGGCCCGAGGCAGATTCCTTAACTTCTCCAACTGTGTCCTTCACCTGACAAATGGGAGTCAAACTGTGGCCTGCTGGGAGAAATCCCTGAGCTAACATGGGCGGTGTGCTGGGCCAGTGGCAGGCGGGGGTTAAGTGTGCACTGAGTATAGCTATCATAATATATTTTTATTTTTAATGTGTAAATACCAAAATATTTACATGGGCCAAAGATCAGAAACTGTAACGAGGTAGGCATTAAGAAGTCTTGATTCCTTACTCATAACTTTTCATGGGATCTGTGCGGTTATGGGGACAGTACTCAGAGCACTCCTGGCATCTACCTCACCCTTTGCCAAAAGGTAACCACCTTGATTAGTTTATCATCTTCCTCCCTTTCTGTCTTAAAAATATCATATTCTATATACTCTCTTGTACTTTACTTTTTTCTTTTCATGTTATGACATAGGCTGGAGACCTTTCTGTATCACTACAGAAGGAACTTCCTCGTTATCCTCACACCTGATCAGTTTTCCGTTGTTGGCTATACCGTTCAGATAACCGTCTTTTATGGAACATTTGGGTTGCTTCCAATCTTTTGCAATGAATAGCCTTATTCATACACGGTTCTGCAAGCAGATTACTGTACCTGAGGGCTGATTCCCAGAAGTGCTATAACTGGGCCAGAAGGCAATCAATCACCTTTTGACCTCCCCCAAATTGCCCCATGGCCCTGGGGAGTTTGTGTCACTTTGCACTTTTCCCAGGAGCGTACAATAATACAAATACGTGGGAGACTATGCTACGCTGAAGGATGGGAAGCAGTAACATTATAAAGATGTCCTTACTACTTAAAGTAATATACAGATTCAGTGCAAGCCCTACGAAAACACCAATAGCATTCTTCTCAACATGAGAACAAATAATCCTAAAATTTATATGAAACCACAAAAGACCCTGAATAGCCCAGGAAACCCTGAGAAAGAACACAGTGGAAGGCGTCATGCTCCCTGTACGACACCACGCTGCGAAGCTGCAGTGATGAGAACAGGGTGGTGCTGGCATAAAACCAGGCGAGTAGATCATTGGAACAGGACAGAGAGCCCAGAAACAAATCCTTGCTTTTACGGTCAATTAATCTACAACAAAGCAGGCAAAGATAGACAGTGGGGTAAAGGCGGTCTTTTCAATAAGTGATGTTGGCAAAGCTGCCAAACAAAACACTGGGCCACTTTCTCATACCGCACACAAAACGAAATGTTCATTGCAGAACCTCTGGAAACAGCCAAGATGTGGAAGCAGCCCAGGTGTCCATCAGTAGGCGAATGGATAAGGAAGATGTGGTAGATGCCTCCAGTGGAACATTATTCAGGGATGAAAAGGAATAAAATCTTGATTTGCAACAACATGGATGGACCTAGAGGGTATTATGATACGTGAAAGAAGTCAGAGAAAGACAAATACCATAGGATTTTATTTATATGTGGAATCTTAAAAAAAA